ACAAAACAAACCCATCAGAGAGATAGCAAAAACATTAGGCGTGGCCAAAACAACTGCTTGGAACATTCTTAAAAAGAAGGAACGCATCGGTGAGCTCAGCAACACCAAAAGACCCGGAAGACCACGGAAAACAACTGTGGTGGGGATGACCGAAGAATTCTTTCCCTGGTGAAGAAAACACCCTTCACAACAGTTGGCCAGATCAAGAACACTCTCCAGGAGGTAGGTGTATGTGTGTCAAAGTCAACAATCAAGAGAAGACTTCACCAGAGTGAATACAGAGGGTTCACCACACGATGTAAACCATCGGTGAACCTCAAAAACAGGAAGGCCAGATTAGAGTTTGCCAAATGACTTCTAAAAAAGCCTTCACAGTTCTGGAACAACATCCTATGGACAGATGAGACCAAGATCAACTTGTACCAGAGTGATGGGAAGAGAAGAGTATGGAGAAGGAAAGGAACTGCTCATGATCCTAAGCATACCACCTCATCAGTGAAGCATGGTGGTGATAGTGTCATGGCGTGGGCATGTATGGCTGCCAATGGAACTGGTTCTCTTGTATTTATTGATGATGTGACTGCTGACAAAAGCAGCAGGATGAATTCTGAACTGTTTCGGCAATATTATCTGCTCATATTCAGCCAAATGCTTCAGAACTCATTGGACGCCGCTTCACAGTGCAGATGGACAATGACCCAAAGCATACTGCAAAAGCAACCAAAGAGTTTTTAAGGGAAAGAAGTGGAATGTTATGCAATGGCCAAGTCAATCACCTGACCTGAATCCGATTGAGCATGCATTTCACTTGCTGAAGACAAAACTGAAGGGAAAATGCCCCAAGAATAAGCAGGAACTGAAGACAGTTGCAGTAGAGGCCTGGCAGAGCATCACCAGGGATGAAACCCAGTGTCTGGTGATGTCTATGCGTTCCAGACTTCAGGCTGTAATTGACTGAAAAGGATTTGCAACCAAGTATTAAAAAGTGAAAGTTTGATTTATGAATATTATTCTCTCCCATTACTTTTGGTCCCTTAACAAGTGGGAGGCACATATGCAAACTGTTGTAATTCCTACACCGTTCACCTGATTTGGATGTAAATACCCTCAAATTAAATCTGATAGTCTGCAGTTAAAGCACATCTTGTTCGTTTCATTTCAAATCCATTGTGGTGGTGTATAGAGCCAAAAATGTTAGAATTGTGTCGATGTCCCAATATTTATGGACCTGACTGTATCCGTATGGATGTCATACCACTTTCTCAAACTCAGTCTTTCTAAAACTCAGCTTGTAATATTTCCTCCTCCCCGATCCCCTCCCCATGACTTTACCATTGAGATCAACGGCACAACCATTGGTCCCTCCCCACATGCCAGGGTGCTAGGTGTAGTCTTAGACTCTGACCTCTCCTTCAGCCCCCACATCCAATCACTGGCTAAATCTTACCTCCGCAACATTTCCAGAATTCGCCCGTTCCTGACCAACGACACCACAAAACAGCTTATTCACTCCTTGGTTATTTCCCGCCTTGACTACTGCAACTCCCTCCTCACTGGCCTACCCCTATACAGACTATCCCCCCTTTAGTCTATTATGAATGCTGCTGCTAGATTAATACATCTTACTAACCGATTCGTGATTGCTGCCCCTCTCTACCAATCTCTTCACTGGTTTCCACTAGCCCAGTGGTCGGCAAGCCGCGGCTCGCGAGCAACATGCGGCTCTTTACCCACTCTAATGCGGCTCTTCTGTGTGCCGGGCGCCTGCTCCCCTCCCTCCTCTCGGTCGGCCGCTCCCCTGCCTCCTCTCGGTTGGCAGCCCCAAAAGTCCGCGCGGACCTTTTAATCCGGCCCGCGGATGTGGCTGTCAGGATGTGTGTAGGCGGGGCAGCGTGCCGAACGTGAGGGGAGGGGAGCTAGGCTCCTCTCACAGTCCGCCCTGAAGACCCGAACGGCGCGGGAAGACAGCGAGAGGAACGCAAAAGGTAAGTGAATTGACACGGGGGACTTGGCTTACTAGAAGGGGGGGGGGGATAGTACTGTGGGGGATGAAATACTATATGAGGGATGAATTACTTTATGAGGGATGAATTACTATATGGGGGGATGAAATACTATATGAGGGATGAAATACTATATGAGGGATGAATTACTATATGAGGGATGAATTACTATATGGGGGATGAATTACTATATGGGGGATGAATTACTATATGGGGGATGAATTACTATATGAGGGATGAAATACTATATGAGGGATGAATTACTATATGGGGGATGAATTACTATATGAGGGATGAAATACTATATGAGGGATGAAATACTATATGGGGGGATGAAATACTATATGGGGGGATGAAATACTATATGAGGGATGAAATACTATATGAGGGATGAATTACTATATGAGGGATGAAATACTATATGAGGGATGAAATACTATATGAGGGATGAAATACTATATGGGGGGATGAAATACTATATGAGGGATGAAATACTATATGAGGGATGAAATACTATATGAGGGATGAAATACTATATGGGGGGATGAAATACTATATGGGGGGGATGAAATACTATATGGGGGGATGAAATACTATATGAGGGATGAAATACTATATGGGGATGAAATACTATATGAGGGATGAATTACTATATGGGGGATGAAATACTATATGAGGGATGAAATACTATATGAGGGATGAAATACTAATACGGGGGATGAAATACTATACGAGGGATGAAATACTATACGGGGGATGAATTGCTATGGGGGATGAATTACTATATGGGGGATGAATTACTATGGGGGATGAATTACTATATGGGGGATGAATTACTATGGGGGATGAATTACTATATGGAGGATGAATTACTATATGGGGGATGAATTACTATATGGGGGATGAATTACTATGGGGGATGAATTACTATGGGGGATGAATTACGATGGGGGATGAATTACTATGGGGGATGAATTACACTATGGGGGATGAATTACTATATGGGGGATGAATTACTATGGGGGATGAATTACTATATGGGAGATGTATTTTCAGTTTTAAAAATGTGGCTCTCAAAATAAATTTCAATCATGGTTTTGGCGAGATTTGGCTCAGTTGAAAAAAAAGGTTGCCCACCACTGCACTAGCCCAATGTATAAAATTCAAAATACTAACCACAACATACAAGGCCATCCACAAAATCACCCCCAGCTACATCACCAACCTCATCTGCAGATATCGCCCAAACCATCCTTTCCATTCCTCCCAAGGCCTCCTTCTCTCCAGTTCCCTTGTTACCTACTCCCACGCTCCCTCCAAGACTTCTCCAGAGCCTCTCCTATCCTCTGGAACTCCCTGCATGAGTAGTATGACCGGTTAGCTCCTACCCTGATCCTTGAAAACTCATTTATTCAGGGAAGCCTTGAAATGATGATCCTTGAAAACTCATTTATTCAGGGAAGCCTACCCCTCCTCCACCTCCACCTAAGAAGTGTACTTGAGTCACCTCCATCAGATCATCCCCTGCAGCTATTACTTTTTGTACCACCTCCCCCTCTCTTTAGATTGTAAACTCCATGAGCAGGGCCCTCCAGAGTGGCAATCATCTTCCCTGGTTGCAAGATTGAGCCCTGAGCTTGTGTAATGAGGCCTTGTACTGGGGAGGGAGGAGGATCTGGGGAGCATCATTATGGCTCAGGAGAAAGTGGAGCTGAACATGGAGATCCCCAGCGATGGTAGCCTGAGGAGGTCCAATATTGCCCCCCAAATTGACAGGCTCAAGTGAGGTTGGGGGGGGGGGGCTGTGTATTGTATGGAGGATCAGAAATCAGGTGACTATGGATGATGTGTTCAGGATGGAGACAACTTATGGATTTCCAGCTGTGAAGGAGCTACAGCACTCAGCATGGCACTTGCTGGTTGGACATGTTCTCTCCAGCACTGAAAATAAACTTTGTTACTGTAAAAAAAAACTGCCTCCTAACTTTTTTAGCTGGCTCCTAGATTCAAAGCAAAAAAGCAAATTCGTCAAGCCCAGATCTAAGGTCCCTAACACACTTTCATGCATACACATAGTAGGGCCATTTTAGACAGGAACCAATTAACCTACCAGCGTGTCTTTGGAGTGTGGGAGGAAACCCTCACAGCTACAGGGAGAACATGCAAACTCCAGGCAGGTAGTGCCATGGTTGGCATTTGAACAGATGACCCTATTGCTGCTAGGTGGAAGACCTAACCACTTAGCCACTGTGCTGCCCCTAGCCATAAGAAGGTAGTATGCACAGCATTTTAGAACATTCTGGCAGACTTACCTGGCTAGTGATCTCCTCCTGCTGTCAGTGCTCCCGTTGGTCACAAGTGCTACTCTTCTCCCAGTCTTCCAGGTTCTGACTCTTCAGCCATTTGCTTGGCAAGGCTGCATTGACATCACTCCTCTTTTTTAGGCTTAAATATCTGTTGCTTTTTAAGAGCAAATTTGTTAATAAAATTGAATTTTGCACAATAATTTTTCCTATCTTTCTTGAATTTAGATTGAACATTTCATCAGTGCAAGTAAGCCAAAGAAAGAAAAGAAAATGACGCTTGCTCAGAAGGATAGCAGGCAGCGCCGACAGCACTATCAGTATCCCAGTTTAAACAGTAATGACCAAAACTATCCAGAAGGAATGGAGGAAGGAGACAGAGAAACATTGATCCAAGATTCGGAAGTGCCTGCACATAGAGGACTAACAGGTATCAGAGGAGAGCTAGGAAATATTCTTTTGCTGCTCTTCTTATACATTTTGCAGGGAATTCCTCTGGGACTAGCAGGAAGCATTCCTTTAATCCTCCAGAGTAAAAAACGTTAGTTATACAGACCAAGCCATTTTCAGCTTTGTCTTCTGGCCATTCAGCCTGAAGTTGCTCTGGGCACCATTAGTAGATTCTCTTTACATCAAGAAGTTTGGCCGAAGGAAATCTTGGCTGGTTCCTACGCAGTACTTGATAGGACTGTTTATGGTGTTCCTGTCCTATACAGTGGATGATCTCCTTGGAGGCGATCATGGACCTGACATGCTTGCTTTAACCACTACTTTCTTCCTCTTTGAGTTCTTGGCTGCCACGCAGGATGTAGCTGTGGATGGCTGGGCTCTCACTATGCTGTCCAGAGAAAATGTGGGGTATGCGTCCACATGCAATTCAGTGGGGCAAACAGCTGGATACTTCATGGGTAACGTCCTGTTTCTTGCTCTTGAATCTAAAGACTTCTGCAACAAGTACTTGAGGTCTACACCACAACCTAATGGATTGGTTACTCTTCCAGGTATAGTTTCTGCTTTATTGAATATTATTACATTGCCTTACCTATATGTACACAGACTCCTTATGACTTCTAAATTGGACCTCTTTAGTCTAAATCATACTTCTAAAAACTTGTGAAATGCTTTGAGCTTATCAGACTTAGAAAAACTGAGGCTGTCATGTTTATATGGTTGCAGACTATCATTGCTCTAGTGCAGCCTTACTCAACCAGGATTCCTTCAGAGGCTGCTGCAGGTTCGTTGAGCAATGAGCAACTTTTGCTTCTCAACTTTCTGTATGGGGGGAGTCTCCCCAATGACCACAAATGTAAGGAGCATTCTTCCAACTGACACCATCAGGCTAGTGTACTGTGAACTGTTGATATAGTAAATATTAGCAGATGTTCCCTGAAACTGAAGCAGTATTTCAACAGTTCCTCTATGTTAAATTGGTTGTAAAACCTCATATATACCCAGTGAAGTGACTGGCCTCAGGTGATACATAGAGAGGAAACAAATCCTCCTACTGGGTTGTACCTGTTTATCTGCAGTCTTCTCTTTTTTACAGCCAATCAAAGTGCAGAATTTATAAGCTTGTCTGAGATTTCAGAAAACATGGGCTGGGGAGCTGAAATTACGTTTTGCAGAGCTGAAATATTACATTATTCAGAGCTCAGTGAGGAGAGCTGAGAGCTGATTGGAGGGAACAGGAACAGAGCTGAGGCTGTCAATCACAGGCTCTCTGCTGGAGCTCCCTTCCCTGTTACCTTTTTTTCTCATCAGGAAAACCTTTCAGAAGCAACTCATGCAGATAGTATATAGTGTTAGTGTTCAGGAACTGCATGAGTGAATTTGCTATAGATAATAAGAGACAGGGTGGATAAAAAGCGTTGATTTTGTAAAACAAAATTTAGCAAATAGGAATTTTTTTATTTAAATCAGATTTTTTTTTATTTTAATAAAATGCTTTTGGAGTAGAAATCTATTTAAGATACATTAATAATTTAGTTTATTCAGCATGAATTGGAGCTTAGTTGTGTAGCATGAGGCCGTATATTCTGCAATTTTTTTTTGGTAAACTCATTCAATGAATCCACGCTCTGCAAGCTGAGATAACATGCACTGCATTGATGCATTCACACAATTTCACAGTAACCATGAGAAAAAACATGAAATAAAAGAATTTGAGTCGTTCTCCAGCTATGTGTGATTAACCTATTAACCTAAAATCGGTTCTGATATCGCTGTTTTACTAACCTGACAGCTTATTATTCTAAAAAGGAAACCTTCATTTGGTTTGCAAATATTAAAGATTCTAACTACCAGCAAGAATGAGTTGGATTCCTTACATTTAAAGAGCACCTGTCATATTAGATCCATCATGGCAGTACCTGTTAGTAGGCATCCACTCACCTGCTGCCGCCACGTCCCTCACTTTGTTGTGTTTCTGCCACATCACCAGCCGTCCCATTAAAGTGAATGGAACTGTTGGTGAGTTAACAGTGGGTCCAGAGGAGGAGCCGCTGCGGGACAGAGATCACAGTTGCTCTTTAAAAACTATGATATGATTTAAATCGAGCCTTTTCACTAGTGATTTAAATCCACTTAATTTAAATCAAAGCCACCCTGATAAGGGTGCAGTGATACCACTGTATTAGTTGCTATGAGTAACTTTCTTCTGCTGTATCATTTCCTGTGTTATTAAATAATGCACTTCGGGTCATTTAGGTCAAATGCAGCATGTTTCCAGGGAAACAATGCATTCACTTGCATTCAGTCTGTATTCTCAGTGATTTGTATAGAGAAATGAAAGGGATGCATGACAAAAGCAGAAGTAAATGCATAAATACTGCTGCATATCATCCAGTTTACAAGGCAAGCTCTACCTTCCAGAGTCTTCAGAAATGCTTCTCAGATATCCACTAACACCAGTCCTTTTCCTCTTCTTGAGTTAATTAGCAGTGAATTTCATTTATGTGGTTTGTCAGTTAAATTGGTTTTAAACCCTTACCTATACCCTGTGACATGACTGGCCTCAGGTGATAAACAAGGATGAAACCAATCCTCCTACATAAGTTGTACCTGTTTATCTGCCGCATTTGTCCTGTACTTCTTTGTAAAACGCAGAGATGAAAATGATTTTTTACAGACTCACAAAGCAGGGGGCAGAGAGCAGCAGTTACACACTGTACAAGAGCTCTGAGAGCTGATGGGAGGGACGGGACACACCCCCATTCACACAGCACACAGGAACAGAGCTGAGGCTAGTGGTTCTTCCCCATGTCACCTTTTTAGCCCTTGGTGTCAGGAAAACTTGTCAGAAGTAAATCATGCTGGTAACAGAGGAACTAGACAGCAGAGAGAAATGACAGTTAGTGCTTTGGAGAGAGGCAAGTAAACACTACAGAAATACTTGTTTTATTCAGTTTTCATGTCTGCGGTTTACAACCACTTTAAAAAGTCATCAACAAATTTGAAAAAAAAATCATCTTTTTATTTAATTTCATACTTCATGTTTGTCTCCAGACTTCTTGTTCTTCTGGGGAACAGTATTTTTCTTCACTACAACGCTAGTGGCTGTTCTGAAAAAGGAAAACTCTGCAGAAAGAGCTAATAGAGAAGAGACAGAGAGTGTGAAAGAAGCATACAGTCTCCTGTTCAGTATAATCAGGATGCCTGCCGTCCTTAAATTTTGCCTCATGATTCTGACAGCAAAGGTGAGTGAACTGTGTGTGTTTCAAGTATGTACAATGTTAGCAGTAATTTTAAATATTCAGATATTTATTTATTTTCATTGAAAAATTGTCCCAGCCAATCAAAGAAAGCTTTGTATTCATTCATAGATTATAAAGCTTCTCCTCTGAAAGGAAGCTGACAGCAGGGATGAGTCTTGGTTGTTAAGGGCACCAGCAGGCGGATGTAAACTGAACTGAAAATGGATGTAAAAACTGGATGTAAAAACTAATATAAACCGTATCAGTTGTTTCTATGTGTAAAGGTATCTGAATAGATGATGCCCATATGAAAGGGGCCTAACAGCGGCAGAAAACTGATGCTGAGGACAGCATCCAGCCACTGTGAAAGAGACCCTGCAGAGGGGGGATTTAGAAAAAGCAGACAGCTGTGGGTAATGCAGTACACACCATTACACATTACCTGTCACAAGAGGTGACCGTTTTTTTGCTAATGTATTTAGAGAATTCTTGTGATTTTGGGGTACTTCCTGAGTAATACAATGAATCTGCACATACCTAAGATATGCTTTATAATAAAATATGTTTTTTGCCTTCTCTGGTAGTTTAACCTTGTCCTGCTGCAAAGGATAAAGTTGACTTACAGGGGGAGATTTACCAAAACTGGTGCAGCTGTGCATGGTAGGCAATCAGTTTCTATCTTTAGCTTGTTCAATTAAAGGTTAATTTTTTTTTCTTTGTAAAATAACAAACATGCTATACTTACCTGTTTTGCGCAGTGGTTTTGCACAGAGTAGCTTGGATCCCCCTCTTCTCAGGTTCTCTGCAGGCTCTCCTGGCCCCTCCTTGTTGGGTGCCTCCACAGCAAGCAGCTTGCTATGGAGGCATAATGATATTACCTAATATTGGTGTAGCGCTATATAATATAGATCAATAAGAAATCTATAAATATATCATTAAAGCATTAGTAAACGGGAATAAATCAAAGAGTGCGCTAAATATAAGTAAATACAAAAATTATTAGTTTAAAATAATGATGTCCGTGATAGAAAAAATTTTATATAAAAGTCCATCCACCATAACAAAGTAATTAAACAATTCTGAAATCTTGTATAAATCAAACACCGTGCAAAACAAAATCCACCACCAAATGAAATGGGTATACTCACCAGAGCTCCATGCTGACCAGATTATAAGTCAGCAAAGATAGCGTTTGCTCTGGGAGCGATGATCAGCAGAAGTAATCCAAACTGGGAGCAATATACTGCAAGTAGCCAGTCAGCACAATATGGAATAGCCTTAACAGTAGGTAGTCATCACGTCTCCATACCATAGATCATGTTCGGGGAATCAAGAAAGGAAATCATGGTGCAGTACGTTTAAAAACCAAAATGTTTTATTAAAATGTCAGAAATGCACTCACAAAACAGGGTGTCTAGCCGACACCAGCAATGAAGCCTCAGGAAAACAGGGATGAGCCTCGCTCACCGCGATATCACAGCCGACAGTCTACGAGGAGCGTCCTGACATCACATCCAAAAGAAGCCCCGCCCTACTAGTTTCGTCATCCGACGTCCTCACAGGGCGGATTTCAGTTATTTCATTGTTTGGTACTCACTGTGTCACTTTATTTATCCCAATCTGCGATTGGGTGTTTTTTGGCACTGTATTATAGGTCCATATTTGGGACCAGGTATATTTTGCACAATATCACTTGATGATTCACGTTATATAGATCCTTGAAGGATTTATCACCTATTCACGTTTACTAATGCTCTAATGATATATTTATATATTTCTTATTGATTTATATTATATAGCGCTACACCAATATTATGTAATATCATTTTGCACCTTTGGTATCGGTTAAAGGTGGTAGCTGCTTGTGTATGTTTATTACTATCTGTTTAGCGCAGGAGGAATCTTTCCTATTCTTATTGTTATGGAGACACCAGCTGCTCCGTGTGTCCTCACGTAAGTATTGAGGGGGCTGTGGGATCTGCTGTACACAGAATGCATGAAGGTAAAAAAAGCCTTCAGCCTTTACAACTACTTTAAGCTTTGGCAATAAAACCTGGAAGCTGATTGGTTTCTCTGCAGAATTGCACCAGATTTTGCACTATCCAATTTTAGTAAATAACCCCCACTGTATCATGGTTAGGAGGGCTTGGAATGTAAGTGGCATTGGTGCTTGTTGAATGCAAAATGTTGTCCAACCACATGAAGTGCAAAATGTTAACAGAATTACAGCCCACAGCGATAAAGAAAGACTTAAAGCGGTTGTCCAGTCTCCACTGAAAAAAATAAAAGTCAGCAGCTACAAAAAAAGTTGCTGACTTTTTTGCAACAGCCACTCACCTGTCCCACGATCCAGTTCACCCCAAATGGGTTCACTGACTGTCTTCTCTCTTCGGCGTTGGCATCTTAAATGTGGGCACCTGGCTGTTACAGCTTGCATCTTCACAACAGGGTGCCCACAGTGCATGGGTGAGTAGCGCTATGCATTGTGACTGGTCCTGCAGTCTTCTTGGACCTGTGACGTGTCCCAGAAGACTGAAGAGATCGAGGGGGGGAGCAGAAATTCCGCTTCTGATCGCCTAGGCAGTCAGTGCGGAAGTGGGAGCAAATACCTGTCAAAATCGGGTACCCGCTCCCCAAAGGTGCCAATTTTTCATGGGGAACCATTTCATAAAGCGGCTTTTTGGGTAGAGCTCCACTTTAAATTGGCAAATTACTAATTTATAGGTACCGTATTTTCCGGCGTATAAGACGACTTTTCAACCCCTGAAAATCTTCTGAAAAGTCGGGGGTCGTCTTATACGCCGGTGCGAGCCGGGTCAGGGTGGCACTTTTTCGAGGGGCGGCGCGGCGCCCCCCCTCCTCCTCCCACGGACACTAAGTACAGGGGTGGGCAGAGGGGCTGCTGTACCTTACCTGGCTCCGGTCCCACGACGATCCGGTCCAGGAAGCGCGGCTGCTCCTTCTTTCAGTTCGGCGGCTCGATGGTCACGTGGCCGCTCGGCTCCGCCTCCTCACCGGTGATTGGGCACCAGCACTGGAAAGGCACACTGGTGACCAATCACCGGCGAGGAGGCGGAGCCGAGCGGCCCTGTGAAAATCGAGCTGCCGAACTGGAAGAAGGAGCAGCCGCTCCTCTCACCCACTGACACCAACGATGGGGCACTATTCCTCCTCCACACTGACACCAACGATGAGGCACTGTTCCTCCCCCCCACTGACACCAACGATGAGGCACTATTCTCCCCCACTGATACCAACGATGGGGCACTACTTCTCCTCCCCACTGACACCAATGATGGGGCACTATTCTCCCCACTGACACCAATGATGGGGCACTATTCCTCCCACTGACACCAATGATGGGGCACTATTCTCCCCACTGACACCAATGATGGGGCACTATTCTCCCCACTGACACCAATGATGGGGCACTATTCCTCCCACTGACACCAATGATGGGGCACTATTCCTCCCACTGACACCAATGATGGGGCACTATTCCTCCCACTGACACCAATGATGGGGCACTATTCTCCCCACTGACACCAATGATGGGGCACTATTCCTCCCACTGATACCAATGATGGGACACTATTCCTCCCACTGATACCAATGATGGGGCACTATTCTCCCCACTGATACCAATGATGGGGCACTATTCCTCCCACTGACACCAATGATGGGGCACTATTCCTCCCACTGACACCAATGATGGGGCACTATTCCTCCCACTGACACCAATGATGGGGCACTATTCCTCCCACTGACACCAATGATGGGGCACTATTCCTCCCACTGACACAAATGATCGGGCACTATTCCTCCCACTGACACCAATGATGGGGCACTATTCCTCCCACTGACACCAATGATGGGGCACTATTCCTCCCACTGACACCAATGATGGGGCACTATTCCTCCCCACTGATACCAATGATGGGGCACTATTCCTCCCACTGACACCAATGATGGGGCACTATTCCTCCCACTGACACCAATGATGGGGCACTATTCCTCCCACTGACACCAATGATGGGGCACTATTCCTCCCACTGACACCAATGATTGGGTGCAATTCCTGCCACTGATACCAATGATGGGCGCTATTCCTCCCACTGACATCAATGATGGGGCGCAATTCCTGCCACTGATACCAATGATGGGGCGCTATTCCTCCCACTGATACCAATGATGGGGCACTATTCCTCCCACTAATACCAATGATGGGGCACTATTCCTCCCACTGACACCAATGATGGGACACTATTCCTCCCACTGACAACAATGATGGGGTGCTATTCCTCCCACTGATACCAATGATGGGACACTATTCCTCCCCCTGACACCAATGATGGGCACTATTCCTCCCACTGACACCAATGATGGGACACTATTCCTCCCCCTGACACCAATGATGGGGCACTATTCCTCCCACTGACACCAATGATGGGACACTATTCCTCCCACTAACACTAATGATGGGACACTATTCCTCCCACTGACTAATGATGGGGCACTATTCCTCCCACTGACTAATGATGGGGCACTATTCCTCCCACTGACTAATGATGGGGCACTATTCCTCACACACTGACACTAATGATGGGGCTCCATCAATGGTGTCAGTGGGAGGAATAGTGTCCCATCATTGGTATCAGTGGATGAAATAGTGCCCCATCATTGGTGTCAGTGGGAGGAATAATGCCCCATCATTGGTGTCAGTGGGAGGAATAGTGCCCCATCATTGGTGTCAGTGGGAGGAATAGTGTCCCATCATTGGTGTCAGTGGGAGGAATAGCACCCCATCATTGGGAATACCATACTGAAATACCATACCATATTGAAATCAAATCTGATGTTTTTTTTCATTTTTATTTGGTGTGTGTTGGAAGAGGGGTAGTCTTATACGGCGAGTATAGCTCAAACCCTATATTTTAACAGGAAAAGTAGGGGGTCGTCTTATACGCCCAGTCGTCTTATACGCCGGAAAATACGGTATATAA